AGTAGAGGTCGCTGTTGGATTAGACTTCGTTGTAGTGAATGTCTTCGAGAGGCTGGAGCAGAAAAAATGATTTCGCATAACGCAATAGGGGGGTTTTTCGTCGTATGGGGGGCAGGAGAATAGGAATGGTGTTAATGCATGAAGATTTTTTCACATTAGGGGGAATTTTCACCCATGTAGGTTTCGTTCTAGAGGAGTTTCACTGTATAAGACGACCCCCTATTTTTCAAGACTCAAGTTTGAAAAAAGACTTTTTGAGCACCAAATAAATTTTTAGACAGAAAATAATTACTGTTCATCTGAAACAAATGATTATAACAATATATTTGAGAGAAAAAGCATGTTATTTTGCCTCATTCAAATCTGAAGTGCAATCACATTCGTAAATGAATGGCTTCTGGTTTTTGAAATGTAAATTACATCATAACTTCTCCTCAGCTGCCGATTAACCTGGCCGATCTTCGACCCACTTTTCTCCAGATTGTCGCTACATTTTTCCATTTTCTGTTATCTCTTCTATTATTTTCTTCTCTTTTCCTTCTTACCGCTATTTTTTATTTTTCTTCTTCGTGCTACCGCTATTTTTATTTTTATTCTTCGTGACAGGGGTTCGCTTTGGCCTGGGGAGTCAAGTTCAGCATTCGCTTTAATTATATCTGGCGCCATCTAGCATCGTGAATGGGTATAATGTCTAGACCCCAAATATAAGACGACCCCCACTTTTTCAGTCTTATTTCAATGCAAAAAACACCCTCTTATATTCGGGCCAATATGGCATATAGTGTATATAGTACTTCATCTCTTATCTATGCACTGCTTTTACCTGGTGCCTGAGAGATGAACAGAACAAGGTGAAGATGATATGCTCTGAAAACTGCACTTGCCAACTCACAGATTTTCTTTGTTCAGTTCAACAAATTACCGGTATGTTTTGTTCAATCTGCTTTTAAGCTGTCCACTGTAGTAACCGCTGTCCCTGAAAGGGTTAAAATAATAAACAACGGTCAGGGGGTGACTGGTCTCATCGAACTGTCGAGCCCTCATGACAATAAAGATATATGTCAAAGCTGCATAAGACTTAAGAACAAATAAATAAATTAAAGAATGAAAAAAAACTGTACAAAAAAAATAGCTCAAGTCAACAGGACAATGTGTGCGCAGTTGGATTTGACACAGAACACTCATATTTTTGGGTCCTTCCACCCAAAATGCGTATCTGGTATGAAGGCATGTAATTGTCAGACGATGGTAGAATCTGTGCAGCCATGAAAGTTTGCAACTGTGTCGCTGTTCCCTCTTTTGCATACAAGGCATGAAAATAGTTCACATCTGTCGTCAAGAGTATGAGCCTTGTGCCTCGTGACACTCACATTTGAGCCAAGTTTTCGATCACCACCTGTCCAGTGTGCAACTTCAGCAATTATTTTGCCTGCCGACACTCCTCATCATATTAATTGATCTCTGCTGACACATTTTCTCCGATTTTCATCCAATGTTTATGCAGCTTTCGTGATGTATTGGTTCACGGGAATGTTTTTGATTTGTAAAATTGGCTGTACATGCTCACAACGCATTTTGGATACCAGAAAAGTAGTGTTGGACTGAGCTAGCAATTCCACTTCCCTCAGAATAGAAGAAACAAATTGATTGATGAAGAAATTCATGATACAACAAACAGTTTATTAACAAGTGAAGATCATCTTGATACTTTTTACCAGTCTTGCATTGCAGAGAGAATTCTTTGAATTTTGCTTTATATCATATCTGCTAATATCCAGGTTTGTAATATGATGAATGGTAATACCTGCAATTAAACAAATTGATATGGATTTGTCAATTGGGATTTAGTGACATCTGTGCATGTATCGATTTTATGACGTCTGTGAATTTTTCTCCAGTGCCAGGGTTTCCCTACCCAGCAGCCAGTGCAGCAGCAGCAGCAGCAGCAGCCTACAGAGGAACCCACCTACGAGGTCGAGGACGGACAGTCTTCAACACATTCAGGGCGGCTGCGCCACCTCCTCACATTCCAGCTTATGGAAGGTGAGCTTTCTTTTTTAAATTTCTTTATTTACTTTATTTAATTTTAATATTCACTTCAGTTGTTATTTATCTCCTTTGGTCGAATGCTAGTTCTTGTTTCACTCAAATGGCAAGCCACGAATCTCAGTCCTCAGAGCCGGCAAAAACCAGCAAAGCAGTGCATGCCTGCTTTGCCTCGCAGCGATAACCAATTCCCCCACTACCACAGCATGCTGATTTAACAAATAGGCATGCTCCAAGACTTGCTTTTCATGGAGTCATGGAAAATGACTGTCAACTTGGCCTTGGCCTGTGGTGTGACAGAGTAAAATGTCAGAATGAGATGTCATCTACTATCCTTTTACAAGTTCACCCATTGACCAAAATGAAATAAAACATCTCCCCAGCCCCAACAACTCTTGCAGACTCTTTGTTGCTCAGAGCTCTGGAGAGCCATGTGTTGTGGGCAGTCAGATGAAATTATCTACCATTCTGTTGGTCTGTTTTTTGTTGTTGTTGTTGTTTGTTGTTTTTCTCTTTCTAACTGCAAGCCAATGGGCATCAAGAAAGCTGGCTGGGATTCTATTTAAAGATGACTTTATATTATTATGAGGATGGATATTTCCATCCATCCATCCATTTTCTGATCTGATTATCCTCACAAGGGTTGCGGAGCATGCTGTAGCCTAATACCAGCTGTTTTCGGGTAGTAGGCGGGGAACACCCTGAACCGGTTGCCAGCCAGTCGCAGGGCACACATAGACGAACAACCATCCGCGCTCACACTCACACCGAGGGACAATTTAGAGTGTTCCATTAATCTGCCACACATGTTTTTGGAATCTGTGAGGAAACCGGAGTACCCGGAGAAACCCACGCAGGCACAGGGAGAACATGCAAACTCCACACAGGAAAGCCAGAGGAATCGAACCATGCTCGTCCGCACTGTGAGGTCGACGTGCTAACCAGTCGCCCACGTTTCCAATGATCGATTTTATATTTTTGTTTCGAAACATAATACAACTTGCCCCATTTGAACAAGTACAACAACTCTCTAATTTATTTTTGATGGTTTGTTACTAGTGGAATCCAAAGATCTTGTCCACCACAATGAAGTCAAGGCAAGGCTCGGAACATTGTAATGTAGAGCATGCATTGAGTAATGAGGTACCACTCATTTTATCATATTAGCGTCGATGCCACCGCATGATGTTATATAAAATTATTGTATGCGCATTTCCGGTATACACACTGAGGGTCTGTTTTACGGACAAATGCATGGATGCTTCAATCAATCAATCAATCAATCAATCAATCAATCAATCAATCAATCAATCAATCAATCAATCAATCAATCAATCAATCAATCAATCAATCAATCAATCAATCAATCAATCAATCAATCAATCAATCAATCAATCAATCAATCAATCAATCAATCAATCAATCAATCAATCAATCAATCAATCAATCAATCAATCAATCAATCAATCAATCAAT